AGCAAAGGGTCTGAATACTTATGACCATGTGATATTTCAGTTTTTCTTTTTTAATAAAACTGCAAAAATGTCAAATTCTGTGTTTTTCTGTCAATATGGGGTGCTGTGTGTACATTAATGAGGGAAAAATGAACTTAAATGATTTTAGCATATGGCTGCAATATAACAAAGAGTGAAAAATTTAAGGGGGTCTGAATACTTTCCGTACCCACTGTATGGACATGTGAGTGCTGTTTTAAACAGGCCTGGAGAGCTGGTCCATCTCTTAACACTGCCTTCATACATATAGTTAAGATTCCCTAAAACAGGCCCTGGCCTCCAGGTTGAGCTGTCAGTTTATTTAGCTGTGACACTAACGGGCAAATCAGACCAGTGTGCTGAGAGCTCCCAAAGCTCCACTGAGCTGCAGACGATTGGGTTGACTGTCAGATTCTCTGTGGCATCTGCAGTACAAGCACGCATAATGGATAGCAGGGTTTTAACTTAGAATAGAAACTTCTAAGGAATTGACACGTAATAAGATTCGAGGCATCTACTTGTTAACATGTTAGCCCTAAGCTCCTGATAAGGTGATGTATATCGAAGCTATTTCCTTTGAGTTTTTTGGATTTCAAAGAACACAGACAGAATTTACCTTTTGACAAGTGATGCAAAACAGCTTTGGAAATGCTCCCAGAATCCTTGGTTGCCATGTCAGTGACAGGACTGGATGTGAAGCTGTTGCCCGTGGCCAGAATGCACACATTAGGAGTGAGTGGAAGCTCTCCAGCAAGGCATATCTCTTTATGTAACGCAACAGCATCTGCTGAAGGCATTGACATAATCCCAAAACGAAGCCTTCCAGTCAGCATGCCAACAAGTCTGCAGACCAGGGAAGTGAAATAAGAGTTTGCAACAACCAGACAAACAAGGAAAGAAAGAAAAGTAATTGTTTGCTAAAAGCTGATAGTTCAGAAGTTCAGTAGAGATGGTGTTCACTGACATTACATGCTTAATCTGCTTAGTTTCCCACACTGCAGGCTAAAAATAGAACTTAGCCATAAGTCGTAGACTGATGCAAACTTTATCTCATATTTACAATGAGGCTATCCTGAATCTTGTATACCAAACAGGGCTAAAACCAGCTGAAACACAACAGCCCAAATGTTTCACTGCGTAGCATTTACAGATTGAGGGTAAGAGCAAACGCATGAAAAAACAAAAAAGGGAAAAACTTAATTGAGCCTGTTAGTGAAATCTGGGATAGCAGTAGTTCAAGACTCAAGCAACTGAGGATTTGAATAACAGACAGATTTCCACACAAATCTGCAAAGTCGTGCGAAGCCCCGCATGAGGCTTCCTACCGTGGGAAAATCACATAAATGCAAAACTTACTGAAAGGTCTTGATCATGTTGGAGCGGTTTTCTCAGATCTCAATTGATGTGGGAGATAGGTCATGTCATGCTTCTGGGTGTTTGCAAGTTATACATGAAATTATGAAAGGAAAACAACTAAGTTTGGCTTATTATCTTCTCCTTTGCAGGAGTGGATAGTGTCCTGTCAGCTGTGTTGTGTGCATGTGGGCATGTTGCCACTCTCCAATCAACGTTGATTGAGTCCAGGTGCGAGTTTGTCCTTCCAAGTGCTACAGAGCTGAATAGATACCAGTTCACCCACCATTTGTTCGCGCTCACAACAAAACTCTTGAATTACTGCGTGTTTTACCCAACTGGTGGCAGATTCACAATGCAGCAGAAGGGCGCTGTATTTGCACAGTACATTGTGTGTCCTGCAATGTCCTTTAGCAGCGATTGTTACACCCTGTTGCCCTTGTATCATGTGGCAGCATTCATTACACTGTGTGCCTGGCTGCAGTAGTGTCACCCAGAAACATTCCTGCATGTGATTATGCTTCATGGAACAAATGATTCTCATGGTTTCCTATGAACCTGTCCTAGTAGTAAATACCACTAAATCTGAATCAGCACTGATTAATAAAAAAAAAAAAACACTTCTTGGAACAAGCATGTGCCCAGAAGTTCTCGAAAGGATTAAACATTAAATGCTTGCTTTAAATTACTCCAATTAAAAAATAAGATGATTCTAACCCATGTGATACAGTTGCACCTCATCTAACATGACAAACCAGTTGCCACATTTAAATGTAAGAGTTCATGAATTGTGAAGTCTTCTTACAAACTCCACACTTTGTCCTGCAACTTATTGCCCTGTCTCTCTTTAACAAGAAGCAGGCGTGCTTAAATGGAAGAACAGTTCTGTCCTTCACACTGTCTGATTTGCTTAGGAAAGGCGCTCACGTCTAATGCTAATCTGAACGACAGCAGTGGAAATCTTGGCTCAGTTTCAGAGGCTAGATTGGGCCTGGCCCAGTGACCTTCTCTGAGAGAACATGGAAAGTTTGCCGGCTCAATATGTCACAGCCAGCATGAGCTTTGAGAACAAGAAAGGAGAGATTAAACGGGTTCGATCCGTGGCTGGCTTTGGTAGCTGTCAGGAGCGGTGCAGTCCTGGTTGTACTATGAGATTATTGGAAATTGTATCAGGCTGGAACTTTTTCATCATGGACGCATCCAAATTAAGAGAGCAGAGAATAAAAGAAAATGAATAAGAGACTATCTCCAATTGACAAAATATTTCACTTCTAATTGTAAAGGTTTTTGCCTCTCACTTTCAGAAGAAAGCAGTTCAGTTCACTATGTATATCAGCAGCCAACAATGCAGCCAGCCCAGCATTATAAGAAATGGCAACACTATCATTTTGGGAGGAGCCAGACTTCAGAAATTCCCTGTCAGGCATCCCGATGGAGGAGAGCAGTGTCTGTTCACTGAAAAATCCCTGCTTCACTGACATAAACAACTGATAATTCAAAAACTGGACATTTCTTAAAGCATAATTATAGCAAGTGAAGTAAGTTTAAAGCAAATTAGCCTCACAGGAAGCTGAAACAAAGTGTTAAAACAGGGTTAATTGAATTGTAAGCCTTGTCACAGAAGATTACCAACTCCAAGAAACACCACTTTAATTGCATTATTACCATGTGGATTAAGGCATTGGGTATTTTTGCTCAGTAATTATATCCTGACTGTCCATGCATTTTAATGCACTTTAGTCAGGACGATTTGGGCTGAAATTCTTGACAGCCCAAGCAAGTTCCATTACAAAGTTTATCTCCAATGTTTTGGGACAACACTGGATATTCCAGCTGTAATAATGCCTACAAAATAAGATTAACAGCATATTTTGGTGATAACAAGTAATTCATTTGACAGGACATCACCTTAAGCTGCTGTTCAGAGACAATACACTGTGGCCATGTTTCCTTTTTCAAATTGTATGTCAGCCATAGAACCATATTAAGCCTCTGTTCTTTATTTCACTGGTGTCATATTAGAAATAATGTATTGATGTTAGCTATGATATTGACAGCAATGCTGGTTAAAGCTACAGTATGTATGTTCACTTTGGTGATCCCCTGACTTCTCCTCTAGTGCCATCAGCAGTAATTTGTCCATTATTTCAGTTTATGACCCACTACCTGCAAAACTAATGATGTTCTCAAAACCCACAGCTGTACTTTGTGCTTTTTTTGCTAACAAATGTTAGCATTGCTAAACTAAGATGAAGAATATTATACCAATCCACATCAGCATGTAGCTCATGGCACTGCTGTGCTGGCGTACAGCTTCACAGAGCTGTAGACTCTGTCATGCACAAACTCTGCTGCTGCACAAATCTTGTTTTGCTGCTGTTGTGTCTGGTGAAGATTATTATTTTTCAAGATGGACAGTTTTCAGAGAAGCTGAGGTATTTAAATGTTGTGATAATGTCACTGAAGGTGCAACTGTGCTTTGAAAGGATAAGAAGCACAAACGGCATCAAGCCTCTTCTTCTGATACTTTATTGATCTCCTGCTGCTATCCTCTCTCCACACTCCATATGTTGGTCACTTCACAAGAACTGAACAGCAGCAGCCACTTTGGAGCTGCCGGGAATTCTGTCTGGTACACACAGGCACTACAGGGCATAGGTTTCCAGACAATGGAATTTGATCATGGCCCTCCAAATAAGCAGCGGTCTCCCTACTTTCTCCTACCGGTACTTCTCACAGTCATGATTTCAACAGCCAGGGAACCCAGGACTGTTACAGAATAACATTAGCCTAATGGATGGGAGTGCAGGACGGCAGGAATGAATGATTGCATTACAGTGTCATTTCCCGCAGACTGTACATTCACATAAATAGTGCAAACAAACAATAACTGTCCATGTGGCCATTCTACTGTGTTGTGATGGCTTGCTGTGTGATACATGGGTTCAAGCTGGGGTCTGAGAGAAGGGAGAGATGCTCTCATGTGCCCTTGTGTTGGAGTGAGTCGGGTGGGTGGGGGCTAAGTAGCTGGGAACTGGATTTAGGCACAACTGCACGATCCGCCAGGGCCACTCTGCAAAAAATACAAGGAGCAGATAAGAGAGAGTGGGAGAGGGCACTCAGCTTTTCTCTCTTTCCAAGCCATCTTGTCAAGAATGCTTGAATGGAGCCATTATAAAGCCCACATCCAACTAGTATGGGACATAAATAAAAAACTAGATGGCTAGCCTTACATTTTCCAAAGCTGCGTTTTCCAAAGTGGGGGTTGAGACCCCGACAAGTGGTCGCAAGGTTAATTTAAGTGGTGGAGAGATGACTTCTGGGATGTACTATAGGAAATATTACAGCTTGCAACATAAAACATTTTTTGTTTGTTCCTGAGAAATAATGTTTCGTCTTCAGGCCTCTAAAAATTATTAACATTAGTAAAAGTGTGGGATGAAGGAATAATTCCTTGAACAAACTGCTCACAGCCCAGGCCTGGCTTTATTTTAAAAGATTCACCAGCAAAAAAATGTTAGGATCACTGATCTATGGCAATATGTGATGGGAAAAGATGTAGGAGCTGTTTCCTTCTGCGTATACTGCAGCTTAAGTCATTTTGTAATTCAGGTCTCATGCTTTTTATTTGCAGTGATGTTCTTAATCCTGTTTGTAACAGACTGTAAATGACCTCTTTGTATGAAGGAAATAAGCATATTTGATATGTAAGTATTTTGAATTAAGTCATTAAGTACTTAAGTCATGGCAATTTTGCTAATTGTTATTGATGCTAGTCCATGATTTCCAAATAATTGCCAATGATATGCTGCTCACATCATCACATTTACGTGTTGCTCTCTACATCGGCTCATTAGCGGCGCGGCGCCGTGACACCGGGCCTGTCAGGATCCTTTCTCACCACCTGCGCTCCCAGAGTATGGGAGCGAGGGGACTGAGCGCCTGCAGGGTGCCATCACAGCTTTGGCCCATAGAGTGCCGTCTCAGCCTTGTCACGTTGTGTCAGTCCCACATCGTCTCGTTCCCTCTCTCCATCTTCCTTTCTTTGGTCAGGTGATGTGCACAGAAAAAGCCTGGCCGTCTGCATCGGGAGCCCTAACGCTCTCTGTCAGCTGGCTGTCCCTGCGGTCACAATAGAGATTCATCTTTCTACTGACGTTCCCTCTGTGCGGCAGATAGCTGCAACCCCCAACAGTCTTAAAGGCCTGCAATGGCCTTGAGGCACAGAAAGCAGGTAAGCATAAGCGCATCCACAGATAAGTTAGTAAATAATCCAAAGGCCAAATTTCCAAATGATTGCCTTCTGGATCTGATTCCTCTGCTAATCCATCAATATGAACACACACTGCAGACACCAAAACACTGGAATCTTTAGGTTTCCCTTTTTTGTTGTTCTAATTAATACGTCTTGGGCACACTCGAGGTAATTAACATTGTTTTTTGCTGGCAACACACAGCAGATGGTGATTGGAAATACAGGGATGAGTCGCTCAATCAACCACCATTTGTCTGTAGCCATTAATTATCTAGCGAAGAATTCATTCATTCCCCAAAGTTGATAGTTTGGGGGGGAAGAAGAATACTGTCCTTCTGTTCCTCATTACTCTTTAACAGCAGAAACTGCTGAAACTAGAGTGCTGGATAGGGAGACTGTGATTTTAATAGCATTGTCATTATCTTCTCCCATAAGGTGGCATACGATAGAAGGCTTGTGGGAAAAAATGGCTGCAACAAAGTTCTGCTCTGATTCATCACAGAGCACTTTCAGAGATGATAGGGACAAAATGCAGTTTCATTCAAGATGATGGGTCCAGAAACTGCTGCAGAAAATGTTTCTTTTGATCAAATGAGAGCCAGTGGGTTATGTGATCACTGCAAGAGAACACCAGACCATGTGACTTAACTAAGCATCCCCAGTTTTTACATGTGATCTGACTGCAACAACAGACACGTGCCTTTAGCTACTGCAGTCATGATGTCACGATATTTCAACCCAGAGGATTAGTTTCTTCTTGCAGTTCTGGTCTTTTTAGTTTATCTGAGCACTCAGAGTCCCAACTTCTGCCTGGCAACAGATTAGCTTATTATTTCACAATACGTTTATATAAAATCTAAAAAATAAAAGGCTACAAGAGGGACAGAGAGAAAGACAACGTGAAGAGGAATTTGGGGTATTGAGCAAAGAGAAACCTGGAGGCAAGAACCCAGCGACACAGCATCACGTCCTTGCATCACTTCTTTGATGTTATTTTGCCAACATTGCTCCTTAATCCTCCATCTTTGGCACAAAATAATCTTGGTTTTATTCTCGCTGCCAGTCTTGTACTCAGAGATAATCAGTGTCACCTAACATTAATTATTGCAATACAACCACAGATAAGTGTTGTTGCTGTTCTCAGTCTGTACAGGAGGGAAATTTGTACTCCTGATTCATTTTGTGCAAGGCTGAGAATAATAATAAAAAAGAGTTCTTGATGGTAAATTGCTGGTAGGATTGCTTATGTTCCACCCCACAGGCTTTAATTACCCACTCTCAGGTGCTATAATCTTATTATCAAACACTGCTTTTTCCACACCCTGGTTACATGATACTGAGAGAGATGAGAGCATGAGAAAATGTAGTAGAAAGATTATATCCTTACAATAGAGCTGCCAACATTTTTGCAGGGTTTCAGTTTCAAGTTGCTCTCTGCTGCTTGGCCACCAAAACACAAAACCATTTACAAATTCTTGTCACATTGCTGCAAACAAAGGCTGAAGAGTCTGTGTTATTTTCAGGATTTCAACAGCATCTGAAACAGCAGCCACAGCTAGGTGCCAAATAAAATACAGAGCTACACAACTCAGTGTTTGTCCCACAGACAGCCCAGCCCCATCAAACCCCATTATCTCCAAGGCTACCACTTACTTCCAACTGAAGTAGAGATAGCTGCTTATCTATTAGTTAATAATAAAGAAGACACACAACAGATAAAAAGGGGGAAAAAAGCCATCCTATCGTGATGGAAAGAGAGAGGTGGGAGAAGAAAAGCTGACAGGGAGCAGAGAGATTTCCAGGGACAGTTTCATTCTGTGGAAAGGGCAAGCAGACGGAGACCTCCCGCTGTAATGCAGCAGCCAAGCCGAAATGAAAGCCAGTCACTCTCTTCTCTGGGGCTAAACAGCAGCCTTAATAAAAACCACAATCAGACCCCCAACCTTAAAGTTTAATGTACATTCTTCCCATATTTCTCTTTGCACCAGTAAAAGGAGGAAAAAGGACACAGTGGAAGTTCCCAGTGTGATCCCAGCTATCAGGCTAATACAGTATATGTGAGTTAAAGAAAAAAAAAAGGGGGGAGGGACATAATGAAGCCCCGTCATTGATTATCAAGCACACCATCAACTCACTTTGGCTCTCCGTCGTGTTAATGAAATTGTTCCCCCCAACTTTTTAATTAACTTGCAGACTCATGGTGTGGAGTCAAGTTGTGGACACAGACAAAGACTACTACAGTCTTCTCTCCCAGGTGATATGAATATCAAAGAGGGGAAGTTGTTCTGAATTAAGCAGCGTTTCTTTATTAGCAGAGAAACTTCAGAGAGAGACAGATGTGCTGAGGACGGGCTTGTGTCACTCCTCCTGCATCTGTCAGCTTTCATTCAACACTTTGATATATAAGTGCAGGAGGGCTGGTGAATTTATTGTGAATCCACATTTGCATTAAGCATTGTTTTCATAAGTTTTAAGCCTTCCTTTTAAAACCTTCAAGGGTGCCTCCTTGATAGTAATCAGAGTGAGCACAAATTATAATCATTCCACAGTGCTGAGTGAAAGTGGTACAAGAGTGCCTGATGAAGGGACATTAATCACAAGGAAAGGAAGATAATAGAGAAGCCACTAAAAGAAAGAAAGGGTTTTATTTTTTCCAGACACATTTCTCTTTATTGGCATGGTGAGGCGGATGAGAATTGCACATAAAAAATAAAATCCACAAGAAAGTCGTACAATAGGTAGAACCACAAAGGCATTGGTAAGGACTTGGCAGAAGGCAACGTGGAGAGGACACAAACAGGTATCAACCCACAGAGACCACCCTCCCCCCCAAACTCACACACATCCACTTCCAGAAACACACACATACCTGCCTAAAATCACACACATACATTTTCTCATACACATATTGTCCTTCCAAAAGAAACATGACTACCCAACAAACGTTTAAGCAGTGGCAAAGTCCCCAACAGGTCACATTATTAAAACATCCGCCACAGTTGAAATTTGAACCAGAAGGTGTTATAATATATTGCTAGTCTAGGCAATTTACAAAGCATTTTTATTACAATTAAAGCCACATCTATCAAATGGGACACAACACCATTACCCAAACGCTATAGAGACAGCAAAAAACTTAAAGCAATGTCTTGAAACACAGGTAAAGGGCTTTTTAATCCTCCCCTCAACTAGTTTTTCCCTCTTTGCGTCATAAAAATTTGCTGTTTCTTGTCTCCCCAGTCAGATTCCATGAAAGGAAGCCTGTGATCAGCTAAGCTTTCATACAAAAGGTTTTTCCTTCCTGTGATGGAAGCTGGTTCTCTCATTACTTGGCTCGCGCTAGAAACGGGATATTAATTGAACCAGAAACCGCAAGGTTACCTTTAATGTCATGTTGACGACACTGTGATATCTGGACTGTGAGTGGGGCTGGTGGGTGGAGGGGGCTGGGTGGTGATGGAGAGTGGTGCAGCATGCGATACACTGTTGAGTAGTTTTCTCTAGGCTTATAGAATGTCACTTAAAATCTGCCAGTTAAGACGGCGGAGAGGCAGATATCTAATGCGGTGTACACTTTACCGGCTGCCATCCTGTAATAGCCATGCACTACACAACATACAGTTTCAACTCGACACATTTTACACACAGAGTGGAGTTAAGATTCAGTCACGTTAGCACAGATGTCACAAGGTAATGCGTGCATTACAATCACATAGACTCGGTTACATTTTAAAGGGAAGAGCAGGGGGACATTCAAGTGTTTACCGCACACTGTGATGACATGACAAGATAGAAGAATGGCGTCTTCCTGCCTACTAGCGACTGGGTAATGGGTCAAGTCCAAAAATCACATGACAATAGAAGCCAAAATACAATTTTGAAAAATAATTTATTGCTTTTTATATAATATAAACATTGTACATCAAATACAAGAGCTTTAAAAATTTCAGGAAAAGGAAAGTGTGAACTTCAGTTTGGCATTCACATAATCAAGCGTGAGTGGAGCGATGACAAGTGTTTTCAGTGGTACAACAAAATTCCTGCAAAATCATTTTATTGCTTCATGTTCTTCTGTGTGGAAAGAAAAACCCAGCGAAGTGCTGCGGACGTGAGCGACGGCAAGCACTAAAAAAAAAAGAGGGGCTGACCGCTGGAGTGATTAGCTCAATGTTCTGATTGTTTCGAAAGGCATAGAAGGTAATATTATTCCCACCAAACCATTTATTGTACACCCTGTCTAGTGATTGCAAGTTAAATAACACAAATTGAACGACAACATAAATAGCACATACATTTTATGAGGTACGCCGAGTAAGAATGGAGCCCATAAATATTCTTGATTCAAATATCAAAATAAATAGATAAATATGTCTTTGTACTGATTGAAAAGATTTGAATGCAGTGTTCTTTCTCACTGAAGGTAATCAAAACAACAACCAGGCCAATGAAACCAAACCAAGTGTGTGTGTGTGTGTGTGTGTGTGTGTGTATATACACATGATCTTAGTCCATTTAAACAGTCCTGCAATTCAGAAATAATTAATAAAAACTGGTGTGCCTTTTTTCCACAATCATGAAAAACACATTAAAAACACATTTTACACTGGTTGTATAAGCAAAAATGCTGATTGAGAAACTTTATAAACAGAGAAAACTATACATGGTTGACTGTTTTTTCCCCCCACAACAAAATAACTTAAAAAAGGACGTTTGTTTGCGTGCTCCCTCAAAATGAGCAATCTGATGCATCTTTTTTCTTTTTTTTTTTACAATCATATAATGTCTTCTAAACATCATGTTGGTGTACAATATGTTTTACATTATTGTAATTACTACAGATCAACATTCTGAATTAAGAACTGTTCTCCTCATTTTTAAAAAAGGCTGCATTTTACAGTGCATAGCTGTAACAAATAAAGAATTTTATCTGATATGTACATAAAATAAAAATATTCTTTTTTATAGTATCTGTAAATACACAGCTACATTTCTCCTTAAAATGTAGACAACAATGATATCTTGAGAATTTTACATCCCTATACTTGTTTAGGGAGGTATGTTACTTGTACTGTATGTAACACAAAGTCCAAACACTAGATTTAAAAGACTGAAAAATCAACAGGACAAAAAGAAAATCTGGCTGAACAAGCCGCATGTTTTCACCCCCAAAGAATTGTGGGCATTGTAGTGCTTCTAGAAAACAAAATAGTAAAGTTTTTTTTTCCTTTCTTTCATTGATGGTTGTACAGCAGAAGAGTGCACCAGGTTCTGAGGGTTCACTGGCTTTCCCAGAATGCAATGTCTTTTCCCAGCTCTTCAGCAGCTATGTTAATGTAAACTTTTATTTTTGATATATAATCATTTATATTGATATAGGTCTATGTCTCTATATCTACAGTTATTTTTATATACTCTCTGAGAGAGTGTAAAACTTCTGGTAGTCTCGTCGTCAAAGGAGCGAGAAACATCAGTGAGGTATCAGAAGTCCCTCTTTGCATCAGATGGCAGGTGCCACTGACACTGGTTACCTTCTCAGGCTGCGCTGGGCCTCCATCAGCAAGCTGTCAAAATCCATGGAGTCATACTTGCTTTTTGTGGAGGCTGGATCAAAGTCATCCGAATGGGAGTCTGAAAGGGGTAAGTAGGGTTGTGGTTAGGGTTGAGCAGAGCGGGGCTCTGTGAAAATGCACGTACTGCAGAAGAAGACGTTCACCTTTGTTTTTGCAGAAGACTTTATGGTCAGGGCTGACAGAACAAGCTGCCCTTACACAATTACTGCTTGGTCATGTGGAGCTCCAATGTTAATCTGGTACTTACTCTTCTACTACGCTTTCGCATTTGTTCCAAAAAGAAGGAAATGATTTGCTCCCTGCCTTTTAAGTCAGCAAGTGTAGTGTTGTCAACTTCAGGGACAAGCAGGGTAATGCATAACAGTATGCCCTTAGTCAGTCAGTTAACTACTTTCAAAGAATTCAGATAGTTACAGATAGAAAAAAAAAGTCTTTTTTTATATGGAGGCCAAAGATGTAAAAGCAGCTCCTCTGTCTGTCTGTCGCTCACATCCTATTTTTCCTGATCAACCTGATAACACAGTAGTAGAGCAGAGCAGAGCATCTTATCTCCGCCGACAGACAGCTTTACAAATGGGGCTCCCAAAGGGCCCAGCAGCACACTCCAAGAGCTTTGAGAAATGGCAGTGACCATGGTAGCTAGGAGACGCCGTCGTGACCTAATGCGATGGCCGAGGGCTGGATTGTGTCACATTGCGCACCTTGAGGGATGAAAAATACCCCGGTGCTCTACTTAAAACTAATGGCCAGGGTCTCTCAAAACAAAAAAAGAAGTGAGGGTCTATCAATCTCTCAATCTCGAGGAGAGTGGGAGAGGTTTGGATACTGCTCTATTACAAAAGTCTCCCTTCTCTCAGCCTCTTCATCCTGTGCTATCAGTCTGTTTCTGACAAAGTGGTAGTTGAATGAAGGCCCTTCCATTTCAGTAGACGATCTTTGCATAACATCTGTTCTCAAGGGTTAGCAACTGTTAGCTAATCCTTCACAACATTAGCAAATGTTACTGTCTTAGCAACTTCTCATCATGTCCTCTCTTAAAGAGCCAATGGATTCAGGCATGTGCATTGAAAATGTATAGTAATTGCTTCCACTTGCAGCTGAGCACACATTCCTGAATTGGTAAAAACATGTCAGTGGAAAACTGGCCGCAAGAGTCAATATCTGTCTTACGTGTCATCATTAAATGAAGGAGATGGCCTTTTGCGTCTGTGCAACTTCTCTCACTTAAGTTTAAATATGGCTGCCCAATTATCACCACCTTTATCATTACCCAGCTACACATGAATCTCTTTTTTCCCCCCATATGTCAAGAATGGGGCTATCATGCCAGAGGAAAATATCTCGATTTCACTGGCAACGTGCATTACTTGTCATCAGTCAGTGTTCAGCTGCAACCACTTACTTATACTGTTATAGAAGCTATAAACATAAATATGTCCACATTCACTTCACTTACATAGATGAATTCTGCTACACTGCAGTCTGTCACCCCCAGACTCCCAGCATAGGCAATAGGTATACTCCCACATGGCCCCTCCCTCTCTGTAAATGACTGGCCCCTACATGCCACATCAAGGCTCTACCTCGTTTCAATGCCACAACAGCCGGCAACAGAAGAAGGGACTTAACCTTGCACCCACATCCTCTTCCTCACCTCATCTCTTTTCTTGTCTTTGTTCCAACATGTCTTTATCCTTGTAATTTCATCTGTACCCCTCCATATAAAGTGACTCCCCCACACACACACACAGTATATCTAACAGCATATGAAAACACACTGTGGACACAGCTGCTCACATACATTTAGTACTATCTTTTTCCATTATGTCTTGCTGTTCATATCAACAAATAGAACCGAGCATCCCATGTCCACATAAGTAATGACGTCCTTCCAGCTATACAAATACACCCCGTGACTGCAGGAGGCTGATGAAGAGAACAACAAAGCTGCACTTACCCAAGTCTGTGTAATGTGATTTGCAGAACTGCTTTTGTCCGCCAAAGCACAGCTCGAACTGAGGCTCGTTTGACCTGTGTAAGGTGTGTCCGTTCTCAAGGGCGGCAAAGGCGTCACAAGTGTAGCGGTATGTGATGAAGCCGAAATTGTCCCTGGTCAAGAACAGAAAATGATACGTCAGAGTGTTGCTGTGGGGGAACAATAACTGAACAGGGGAGCTTGTCCTAGATGACGATCACACTATTTATATGCAAAATATAATCAATAAGAGTGTATCTTTGGGGCTCTGTAGGCGCAGAAGTGGATGAATCACGAGACACACCGAGACTGTAAAAGCTCTGCCTTTGTCTTAGATATTAAAGACTGTCACATGAAATCCAGAGATGATGAATGCTCAAATAAATGTCTGCCATCGCCCTACGCTAATACCAGACTACCATACAGATGCACACATGCATGTACAGAAAGTCCTGGGGTCTTACCCGTCGTCTCTCGAGCTCACTGCACATTCTTCAATTTCGCCAAAGACTTCAAAGCGGCACTTCAACTCAGGCCAGGTGCAATCAGACCTCAGTCGCCCCACGTACACCACCCGTCTCTCCTCCTGCTTGTTAAGAGAGAAGACAGAGCAGAGGAATGAGATTAAAAGAGGTAGTCTGTTTTCCCTTAACCCCTCTCTTTCTTCACCATGTTCTAATGAATTGGTCTTGATCACTTGTGTGGATACCGACTTTGGGCCCCTGTTTTGTCCCTCTTCTCTGTCTGTTTCTTGTGTTCCTCTGTGATTGGTTCAGCTTGCTTCCTCTTATCTGATAGAGTTGCAGTTTGGAAGCACTTTCAATCTGCCTTGGCACTACAATTCCTCTTTCTCTCTGCAACTCTTCAACCAGAGGCAGAGTGATTTTTATCAAATGATGCCATGTCTTAAGCTCGGGGCTGCTGCTTCTTCTTTCTAAAAATAAAGCTGTGGGGTGACTCAGCCATAGATCAGAAAAGCCTGATTCTTTCCAGCTTGGGAGTCACATTTAAAATACACAGGAGCATGCTAGGCAGGACTGTTAACTGTGAACTCTGTTAGTTTACGAATATTCATGTCCAAGAACGAGGGAGCATTCAAAGCAGCACAAATGAGCCACAGGGCAAAAAAACATGGATTTCCTCGAACCTCGGAGGACATGGGGGTCATAACAGAATAATATAGGAACAAAGTCCACCAGGCTGCAATTATAGCTTTTGATTAATTTAATTGCATCTGCTAATCATATAATACAGCATGAGCCTGGGGCAAAGTGTATTACTAGTATTATTTATTTATTCATTCATTTACTTGCATTTACGTGGCTAAGTCCATTGAGACCTTGAAACACTGAATAAGTGTAGTAGTGCCGTATAAATCACTGCCTACTGCTTAACTCAGAATTCACCTTTGCCCTGTTTGGGCTATATTGAGTAGCTGAGAAAAATACAAATTAGCTACAGATTTCTGTTTTTATGCTTTTCCCACTCTCATTAATGCTTACATACTGCTTGAGACAAAAATGTATTTGCTGAATTAGTGGTTTAGTTGCTGACAGCTGATATATAGGCAGTCTTTTCTCCATGGCACCCTGAGGGCTGTCTATGTGTGTGTAGGTGTGTAAGTGAGAGAGAGAATGAGGCGAAAACAGCGAGACAGACAGACACAAGGAGATGCTTTCACATCCCTGGCCTCCCAAACCTTTCTTGACAGCTTGAGCTTTACAGCTCATAATTGTCCGTCTCTCCATCTCCAAAATGTATGCATGCCAGGCAGTATTTGCATTGCTGCATCATTTAATATGCGCTTTGTCAACGGGTGGTAGTAGCATTAGCCCACATGAAACGTGAGTAATTTCACACAGACACAAGGAGAGCAGAGATGACAGGAGAAACAAGATATTCACTGCATCAGACTGAATGAATGGTACAAAAGAAGACCTCAAGAATCAGAGGCCATTTCCATTTTGGTCCTTTCCTCATCTTGCTCTCCTAGTTTCTACTATTTTAATGCTTTACCCCTTGTGGTGTGACTAATAAGAGTCGACAGTGTTTCCAGACGACAAAGATGTTAAATATACCAACCCGGAGATAAAGAGGAAGGGCCTGTCGCCTGAATCACTCACTTTGTATGTATCCTTTCAGCAGAGAGATGCTGAGGCACATGGTACTGGGCTTGAGGCTGTCTCATCCCAAGTAGTGTGTGTGTGTGTGTGTGTGTGTGTCTATGGAAGATTTCTGTGTGTTTGCGGGAATTTGTACATGTGCAACAGCAGTGAAGTGAGTGCATGTGGTTTTTTATCAGTGGCGACAGGAAAGACGTAACGTCAAAGTCAGAATAAAAACAGGGAGGTAGAGGAAATGAGATGGCACCTGTGTCAGCTCACTCACTATTGCTTTCTGCCTTTGCCTCTCTCTCTGCTCGGCCCTTTCAAACTCCCGGCGGTGCTCCTCCCTCTTCAGCCTCTCATGCTGGTACTCCTCATAGCTGTCATACCTGTGGGGGATAAAACACATATGACATCACTGTCCTTGCTCGTCCTGTAAGTCACCCTTCCTGTTGGTGCTTATGAAAATCAGATGCCAGCATTTGCCAAGAAGTAGTCATCTGTTTTCTCACTGATGGCTGAGAAAGGGGTTGCAAAGAAAAGGAAATGGACATGCTAATAAGATGTCTCTTCACCATCGCTATGATTACGGACCCGCAGGATAGGCCCGCGGGAGTGCCGGCGAGCGGCGCGGTCGGGGTGCTAGGCAGCTTGCAACTGTCAGCACAACTTCACATATCATTACTTTCTGCTTAGTTAGGGCTTCATCAAGAAAGAAAGTGCAACTCTCTCCCCGACCCCAGACTAGCACATGATGTTTTCGACTGATGAGTGACTCTCTGGCTTGTTGGGTGTCATTAGGCATGTGGATGCCAAATCAACTTGGAGCGCTGAGATGGCGTCTCCTTCATTCTCTCTCCTCCTGCACACTGCCAACGCTTCTCTGCATATGAGATGCTCCCCTCTGCAATGGCTATTGGAAAACTACAGAGGCACTAAGCTGACTAAGTGTCATTATACAGCTGGGAGCGTCCACTCACGAGTATGACTCTGCATCAGTAGGATTTGGGACTCTTGTCATGAGACCAATAAAACATAATCAGTTAAGCATATTCTTTCTGCCTCTCTCATTATGAGTTCTTTTAATAAACAGTTGGTCTAACCTGACATATGCAATGAAAACAAAGATTAATAACACATCAATTACAGGTTAAATAATTAATCTAAAACAATCACCTTGGCCTGCAGCTGAGAGGAGATCGAAACTGAGGGTGGGGGCTTTTGTGAGTCCTGGAATGAAAAGTGCTGGAATCCGTGTTGTGATGAGACCTGAGGGAAAAACAGAAAATGCTCAATATGAAAACATTGTTTTTACACTCACACCTAGGAATGTTGTTCATCTCAAACATGACAATAAGTGTTTTAAAACATACAATGCATAAAGTTTAGTTGCTGCAATCTGGTGACACCTTGGGTAATTTGTCCTTGGGTTTGCCAACCAAATTAAGTTCTCTGATATTTGCACTTAGATGTTGACAACTGGGTAAATTCCAGATAAAAGCATGCTCTGACCTCCAGTCCTTGCCCTAATCCAACCCATGCCCAGATAAAGTGTGCATGACTTCTGACATGATTTTTTTTACACACCTGAGCTAGTATAAATATCCACCTTTGATGCTGTAGTAGGAAATGGTCAGTACTATAGGCCCTTGTGGCCTGATTGCAGAGCTTGTGCCCCGTGCACTCCGTAACCTTGATGCTTAATTACTGAAATGTTGCTGCAGGTGACCTGAATAATGAAGGGAGAGAAGTTTGGGAAGCTCAGCGAAGCACAGGAAGGCCAGTTTGGAAAGATCAAGGA